GCATAATCTCATTTAAAATGCCCCAAAATGCTGAGAGTTCTTGCTGGTTGTTCATTCTCAAGATGATGGAAAATTGCAAGTACCCTTGCAATCAAATAAAATAGGAAATTTGCTACCCAAAAGCACAGATGTCCTTGAAGATGTGGCACCATGAAATACCCTTGGTGCAAATGAACACAAGTGGTGGTATCCCACCTACTTCAAGGACATGATGCAATATACTGTGATTTCACTGCCCTGCTGTTTATCATAACAGCACACAGCCTTTTCAGATGCAAATTACACACAAATCACTTCAGTAATTGCAATGTAAAAAGCACTTAAGCCACTCCTGAATTAGCTAGCTCAAGTCCAAACACCACACATCCACACAGTTCAGCAAAGCCTACAAATCCCAGTGCTGTGGTTCATTTAACCTGAACTTCACAATGCCATATCTGAAGCACTACAAATACTAATACAGGCTACATACACTATAAATACTGATATACTTGACTACTGCTACTGTTATACTATAATATTCCTATTAAAGACAGTTAGTTTAATTGAACTAATACATGTCTTTGCCAGATTGCTCTTAGACTGATGAAGGCAATCTAAAACTAGTTGCTCATCTGTGACACAAGCAAATAGCATTTTATTTTACAAAATGATAAATTAAATCACAGTGAAATTAAGCAGCTTCCCACATTCACACAACAAATGACAGAGCAATAAACTGGCATCTGAACACGGACTTCCAAGCCATTAGTTATCATTTGCTCAACACACATCCTCATAGCATAGTAGGCCTGCAGCGTGAGGATTAAACTAACTGTCCTAACTATCCCATGAACCTTTCACTGCTGATGCCAGGTCCTATAAGCACAATGAAGAAGATGAAATATTGTCCTTTACCATCGGGATAATGTTTATAGTGTGTAACTGAAGATTCCTACAAAAGTGCAGCACTAATTCCTGCTCACTGCCTCATGGTGCTCACCACCCCTGTGCAGGCAAAGGGGCAAACCTGTGCTGCTGAGTCTAGGAATACACAGCTGCTTCCAGCATGACAATGCAGAGCTCCTGGGATGTCAGAGTGTCAGAACCTTATCGCTCACTGAAATTTTAATCTTCTTCTCTTTCCTCCTTTCCACATTCTTTGCCACCCGCTGCAGAGATGTTAAAAAATAGTATGAGATGTGATGCAACATAAGTGGGTAGCAGCAGTCTCTCTTGACTCCACAATCTTTCTAGAGCTTGACAACCAACAAGAAAAACACAAATTAGCTCCTCTTTCTTGCTCCTCTTCATAGATAGAACACAACAACAGAAATTAGCTCATTCCTCATTCACCACAATATGCTGGAAACATTAACTGAAATCATGGAAATGCCTTTTCATGGCAAAACTTATACAGATTAAGAAAACACTGTGGATACACTGACACTAATATCATCCTGTGTAAACCTTAAATGCCACTATATTATTGAGGGAAAGTTGCAATCAGACCATTTAGAACTCTCCATGATACATCTATTATTATCTTTTAAAAGATATAAAGATACAGCAAATTTTTCAAAGTACTCTAGCCACCTCTAAACCCCTATAAATCTGCCACCACCAAAATGCAAGCACTGATCTCACAGTCATCAGACAGAAAGCTAAAAGATGAAGAATGGAGGCAGAAATTGCAGGAAATATAAAACAGATTTAGAGACGTAGGAACATAATAATTCAGTTCAGAATACAAAGACATGCAACTATATGTAAGTGCTCAAAGATGCAAAGAGGAAATGTTGTAGCTTGAGGAAGTCAGATGTGTAACTCCACAGGAACAAAGTGACTGACCAGATGCTTCTGACAAAAAACCACCATCACCACCTACAGTTTCTGAAATGTGCTTGGCCAGCACAGCTCTGGTCAGCTTGTCTCATGCAGACCAAGCTGCAAATGAACAGGGTTAAATGTACTATTACACCTTCAGTAACAGCACAGGGCCACCATGCTGCTTGGTAACTTGGCAGAGTGCTATGTTACACCGCACTGGGGACAGCAGTTCAAAGTCTGAATTGAAGAAGCATCCTTCCAAATCATCAACATCATTTTCTTATTCTACCCAGGTTTTCTTTGTAATTATAATGCCATGGTGTGAACTGACATAAATAATAATGCAGCCATGAAGATGTTGAAAAGAGTGTCAGGAGGCAACAGGAGCACTTCAGTTCTGACAATTAAGTGCATATTTGTTACCTGAAATAGCCCAGGGCTGCTCAGTGAAGTGGACCTGTTTGTTCCTACAATATCTCCTCTAGAGAGCCAAGGTGTGCTTTCAGAAACTGAAGCTCCAGTTAGTGAGCACAAACAACACAATAACCCATCATAAGGGTAGAACTGTACTCTTGTAACATTGGGCATGGGAAGAGCGGTTTGCCCTTGTTCTGCTGTCACTGTGCTACTGGAGTGTTTGATTTAGATATCAAAGGTCCTGCCTTAATTACCCCAAAGCCTCTGAGTTAATTACCCCTCGTTCTTGAAAAGCAGAAGACTCATACAGTTATTGAGGAAAGAAAAAAATCATCACCCCACAACACCTTTGTATTTCTGTTAGGAAGCCTGAGCCACGCACTGCAAGATCGTGAAGTTTCACCACAGACTAACATAGCATCCCAACGCACCATGTTAAAACAACACACTGCAGCTATTTTCTCTTCCTGCTACTCCACATATATTAGCTTCTTCTCTTCCCTGCCATCTGTTAGTTTGCTGCAGTCTGCTGGGACAGGACTGCCCTCTCCTTTTCTCCCCTTCTTGCCTGCTCGAATGGATGACAACAAAGCCAGGCATTTCCTGTCCATACATTCAGCTTTCCTCAGCTGCCTCAGAAGCATTACCAAATGCAGTTACTGCCATGAATTAAAAGTGCTCTGCTCACCTCTGTTCTATCAGTGTGCTCACCAGAATTACATTCTAGACACTGAAACACCTTGTAAGTGGTTGGCAAGGTGGTAACTGCTGCTTTAAGAGGACACACCTTTTCGTCTTATCCACGGGCATCACTGATTAAAACAGGTATCTGTGCTATGTGCACCACAGGAACTGTCACAGAGAAACTAAGGTAAGCAGCATTGACAATTACTCTATGCAGCAACCTGCTGCAACTTTTCTTAGAGGGAAGGCTAGCAAGGAAAAAAAACACAAAAAAATCAGGTGAACAGCAGTATCTTCTACTACCATAAATTTCAGTGTAAAATGTGTAGCAAATCACTGTTTTTTCCTCTAATACAGTTCAGAATGGAAAAAAGAACAGCTATCTAATCCATCACACTTGTAGCCAGTTAGGAAGGAAATTGGAATGTTTGTCATCAATTGTTCTATCAGTCAGCTCATTAGAAAAAGGGAACAGCTCATCTAAAAATAAAGTCAATATTGGCTGAGTCTAAACATCTTCTTCAGCATTTCACACACATATTCAAGCAATGAACACTATTATTCTGTGCTGGTAACAATATGCCCCCTAGCCAATAACTGCTCTTCAACATCTGACCTCTTTTTAAAGCAGATGTACAAGGAAGTATAGTGGAAGTGTTCCAAATCAGCTGGTGAGAAAGTATTATAGATCATAACCCCACAATAAACAATTCCTATTTCTTCTGATCTGCAAGATTAGAATAAATCTAGCATTACAAAAAAAAAAATAGAAAAGAAAACTTACAATATCAAAAATACTTCTATTGAAAAATAAAAATAAATCCCACATTAACAGCTCACAAAGCACTTCCTCCAGAAACGAAAAGGAAAAGTAGCTTTCTTTGGGAAGAGAAACCACCAATATCTGCTGCAACACGCCAACACAAAGGTAAGTTTTACAGTATGAATTTATTGATCCAAGACAGATTTTCCTGCTTTCCAATCCCTATACACTGCCAGTCAGCAAATATAATTCAATCGAGAGCAAATCATGCATACCTTTGATTTCAGGGAAGCATCACGTAGCACACAGGCTACAATTGGGAAGCAGTTCTGCCAAGTCCCTTACAGGTCAGCCGAAGGAAGCCCCGGCTTACCCAGGCCGTCCCAGCGAGGGCAGCGCCGGTGCAGGCGGGACGCCAAGCTCGGAGCCACAGGCGTAGCCAGCTCCTCGGAGCAGCAGCCCTGGCTGAAATTACGTCTGCAGCGTACGAGCGGCAGCGTGCCGTTTTTTATACAAAAATCAGCATCTTCCTCAGGGGAAAAAAAAAAAACCCAAAACCACTTGAAGCTTCTTACTGGCCCTGCAACACACTCCTGTACTCATGCCATCACATCTAGTGACTAAGAAGATGCTTTCAGTGTCACAGGAGATTAAGATTCTGGGAGGAGAGTGCCTGGCAGCTTTACTCTAGCACACCAATCTGTCTTCAAGCAAACGCACTTTGTCGGCGGATGGAAGTGTATTATTGCAGTACGCTACCGAAGCGAAAGAGTTTCCAAGTTTTCCCACAGGGCATCAGCTCCCCCATCAAGCTGCACCCCAGCACTTGCTCCCCCTCGTCCTTCCGCGAAAAGATCTGCGTTTTCTGGGCATCACAACTTGTCCTATGTCCCCGCCGAGCTCCGGCTCCCCTGCGCTGCCCGCACACCTGCCGGGACACCGCGTCCCCTGAGCCGCGCCCCGCGGGGCGTGGGCAGCCCCGCGCGGCCCGGACAGCGCCCACGCACCTCCCGCGCCCTGCGCCGGGGCCCGAGGCCGGGCCCCCTTCCTCCGAACCCCGCGGGACGGCGAACCGCAGCCACGGTGCTCTCGGGGGTCCGCACGGCCCGGGCAGGGCACGGCCTGTCCCCGGCCCGGCACCACAGACACAGACACACACGTAACACACACGCCTTGCACCTGTCCGCTACTACCGACCGGGAGCGAACTCCCACCCCCGGGGCTCGGGGATCCCGCTGCCAGGGCACAGCGGAGTGACAACCACTCGCCACACAGATGCGGATAAGCAGGAAAAAGCCGGCGAGAGGGAGCAGCTCACTTCCATTACCTTAGCAATCGCGTCGCCGCTGTCCCCTGACGCCCCTTCGCCTCTCCTCAGAGACGGGGAAGCGCCCGCAGCATGGCGCGAGCCTGCGGGCGGGGCCGGCGGTCAGCCCGGGGCTCCTCTGTGCGCCTCTTCCAAAAACCTCCCGTTCTCCCCAGCGCCCCTCCTGCTGCGGCGAGGACGGCGGCCGGGGCGAGTCTGCCGCGGGCACCCCGCTACGGGCGGCCCGGGCGCGCCGCCCCTGCCCGGCCCCAGCGCCCCGCCGGCTGCCCTTTGGCGGTGATGCGGGGGCACTTCAGCTCCCATGTCCCGCCACCCCGGCCGCTGCTGGGGCACTCGGCGCAGCCCCGAAGAGAGGCATGGTGCCGGAGGCAAGCCTCGTCTCTCTCTCGCAATCTTATTTATACGCTGAGTCGCACAATTAAAGTGTTTGGCTAAAGTCCTCCATCTGAAACCGGGAAAGCCTCATCTTTTGATCACCTTCCTCCAACAGCCCAGGATTCTCTAAATAACACCTGGGTTCTGCACACCATCATCGATCTTAACAGGCACCACAACTCCAACAAAACAGCTTGGAGACCCAGCTCTTTTACACAGATCTGTCCTATGGGCAAAAGACATTGCTGTTGGTTAGGATGAATTTCCACACATTAACTTCGTTGGCAAAGTAGCTCGCATACGTCTTAGGGCTATTATCCACCGATTTCTCTATTGGATGAGATTTTCACTCCTTTTTCTCCAGATGGCAAGTTAAGCCCACCTTGCCCCGAGCTCACCCTCAGGTCTGAGAGCCTTGTGCCGGGAGGCACTAGGGCAGACCATTAACAGGAGGTAGCCACACCCATCTCCGTGCCAAAGTTTGTGAATTTCCAAGGTTTGCTTCCCACGCATCAGACTCATTATTGCTGTTGAAACTCTTCACAAGGCTGCAAGCTGTACAGAGGAAAGGCTCCTTTACCCACCCGTGTAGCCTGCCTTAAAAGCCCTTGTGTGGTGCTGTATCTGGTGCCCCGTGTGTGGAGACGCGAATCTCGCCTCCATGTTTCAGAAGACTGGTTTATTGTATTATGATATATATTATATTAAAATGATACATTAAAACTATACTAAAAGAATAGAGAGAAAAGGATTCATCAGAAGGCTAGAAAGAACAAGAATGGAATGAATAACAAAGACTCCTGACTCTCAGAGTCCGATGCAGCTGCCTCTGTGATTGGCCATTAATTAGAAACAACCAACATGCACCAATCACAGCTGCACCTGTTGCATTCCACAGCAGCAGATAGTTATTGTGTACATTTCTCTCCTGAGGCTCCTCAGCTTCCTAGGAGGGAAAAATCCTAGCAAAGGCGTTTTCATAAAATATCATGGTGACAGTGTGGTGTCTCTGTTCCCTCAATTTCCTAACATCCAGGATCATACCAAAACCAGGTTTATATTTCATAAGCCTGCTGACTGACACCAGAAGCTATCATATGCAGGGATGTCCTGTTATTTCATGCTGTAGTCTGCCCAGCACAATTTCTGGTGATATCTGGTACACTAAACTGCTGCAGTAATTCAAATATTAAATTAATAAGAAAAAAAAAATCTGGATCAACTGTGCATCCCTTCCATTTTTACTGGATCCATATGTCCATCTTTACTGTTACTGGCTACTCCTTCCTTAGTCTTGCAAATGCCAGTTTCTAGCTTGCAGAGTTTACATGCTTCTTCAGAAAGGTCCTTCATCAACACAGACTGTATGTTTATTTCCTTGTCACACTCAAAATTGTATCTTAGTGGCAAAATTCTGCAGTTGTGCCTCACACAAGTTCATTGACCATAACTAGACTTTACAGGGTGTTGATTCAATTGATTTGCTTCAGATTTCAGCTGTGAGAATTTAAAAGCTTCTGTGACAGGTTAAAACATCTTGATTAATCTAAAAAATATTTCCCTTTATATCAAGTTTAAATTTAAACTAATTTTCATTCTCTTTGGATTAAACCAAGCATATTATATATTATTTGCTACACAAAGCTCTCTGGCAAAGGGAAGAAAGAAGGAATGACCACCTATGAAATAAAGATTTATTTTTTTAGAGATTTTATCAGCAAAGCATTTTAAATCACTAGTTATATTGAGTTATGCTGGGGTATGACTATATGTAATATCAACAGTGAAGTATTTCAGTGTCTTATATCGGGTCTGTTCAGGAAAAACTGTTTCAAGACTACTCTACACAGTCTTTGTTCTCACAGCTCCCTCAAATGAGTGTGCATGCAGTAGCCAACAAATCTAAGTGCTTGAATATATCAGGTTAACTCAGACTAAAAGGCAAATTCCATAGAAACGCTGTTTTCAAAGTAGAAGACAGAGAGAAAATATTTCACATGTGTATTTTCACATGTGTATTAACATTATAATTCAAAGAAATTACCAGTCTGTTTTCTGGAAGTATATACAGCCTGAGTGTTACCATACTCCAGCAGCCCATGATGTTGAGAAAGGAAGCTGAATGGAAACATTAAAATAAAAGTGACGTCTATGCTTATTTTAGTCATGCTCAGCAGAAAAAATTGTAACCAAAAATTACAAATAAATCGAAAGGCAAATAATAAATAAATACAATTTAAATGGTATTTCAAGTTTGGATAATATTCCATGCCCTATTTCTGCATTTTATACTATAAATAAATGAATCTTTGCCTAGTGGCTTCTCTCAAGCAACAATGATTCTCTGGTCCCTTGAAGGAATAAATGGTATGAAGCAAAATGGCATAGCAACATTTTTTACTTTCATGCATTAACTACTAAAATAAATTATACATAATTAAAACCTGATAAAACCGAGCCAGCTTTGTATTTACATTGATCTTTATGCTGAAAACAATGTAGCCAAAGTTGGTTCATCACAGCAACCGTTTCTTAGTTTAGCCTCTTTCCCAGCGGGAGAGTCCAGCAGTTTGATGAGTGTGATTAGAGATGCAGAAACAGTTCCGTTTAGATCAGTGGGACATCTCAAGTTGATGTACAACTACACACGTACAGCAATGTTAGCAGAAAAAGACCTTGCATCTGAACACTGCTATGCTTAGTAAGCACTGGAGAAGAATGTGTGGGGAGGGACTGTCATGCATTTTCTGGCCAGGAGTACAGAGTTTTATTGTTCCCCTTCCTCTGTATTATATGATGAGATCTAAAAGCCAGAAGAGACCACCATGGTCCACACCAGGCATGGAACACCACCTTATTGATACAACATTCTTAATGATACATCATTAAAACTGACGAACCTGAGCTAGAATTTTCATTTTCACTAACGTTTCCTATTGAAAATATTTGGTCAGCTTTTCTTTATCCCAGAGACGGATTTCAATGACAAAATCACACATTTTATAAAATTATATCTTCTATTGAAGACTGCAGTGGAAGAAAACTTCCCTCATACCTAGTGATGCTGTCCCAAAGCTCTATGATCCTCGTTGCTTTAAAGAGGTCCTTTTATCAGCTTCAGAACGTACAGCTTTGAACCCCACATATCGTGGCTGACACCAGAGTTACACACGCTCACAGGGCTTCTGCTAACTCTTACTCACAGCTCAACAGTGGGAGTCTCCAGGGTATTCCAACAGATTCTTTACATGGCAAAGAGTCACAGCACAGCATGTTCCCCTGTGATCATCTGAAAAAAAAGGAGGAGAAGATACCGATAACTTTCTGCCAGTAGCATCCTCCTCTCCTGGTGCTTGAAAAGCTCAGAAAGGCAGAAGCTGCTGCAGCTGCAGTGGTTGCAGTGCTTTGAGGTAGGGCCAGTGTTTTCCTTTCAGTTTGCAAACCAACAGCATTGTTGATCGAATGAGTAAGTGTTACCCCATAGCACTTACTTAATAAATATTCAATAGCTGTTAATTACAAGAAAAAATGGAGCTGCTGCCTCGAGGTGAGTGCTGAAACATCACTAAAGCAGTGCTTTTTCTCATGAAGGCAATAAAGAGGAGTAAGTGTCTCTCTCTGGCAGAGGGCATGAAAAAAAGCAAAGAGGTTTTCAGAGTTGTTCAAGGCAGGTTCTATTTTTCATAAAATGTTTAATTTAACAGTGACCTAGTTTTACGACAGCTTTCAGTGTCTTGGCTTTTCTGATCTCCTGTGTCTTAGCCTACATCATTAGAACAGCAGAGCAATAGGCTCTACAGATTTTGTTAAAGCAAACTAAATAAGGTCTTGCCAGGTGGATTAATTCTTCTCTCCTGTTTTGTTTCAGGCAGCTGGTATGTTACAGTTTCTTTGTAGTTTTAAAGAGGTTTTAGCACATCTTTTATTGCACATATTATAGATTTTTTTTTTTTTTTAATTTCAGTTCAAAGCCCTAGCTTATTTCATGTTACATTTTTGAGTATCAGACTGCAGAGGTACTCTTGAATTCCTCAGCCTTTTTCCAAAAGGATCCTTTGTTTTGTAAACATTAAATTAACTGTATGAATTTGGTGGCTAGCTTGACTAGCAGATTTGGACATTTACAGGCAGTACAGACTCATGCCAGCTTTCAGCAGGAGCAAGTCGTGGGGTGCCATTAATTTTACTTACCTTGCTTCACCTACCAGAAGAAAAAAGTTATTGTGCACCCTGTCATTGTGACCAATAAACAGCAGGTCAAACGATGTTTGCTCCCTTTTTCACTATCTTCTACATTCGATGTTTCACAGTACCACTCTGTCACTCCTAGGTTGTCTTTATGAAAGTGTGTTTTAAAAACCCCTAAATCTCTATTGTGTGTGCTGTGTTCCACATGGATTCAGCAGAAAAAGGGAGCAATTAGAAAAATGATACTTCAGCCATGCAGCACCGAAACACACTAACTCTGCTGAAAGACGTCTCTTCCTTCCACCTCCACCTCAGAGATTCTCAGGAAATTTTATCCTTCGAGAGTCAAGTGTGAGGAGCCTTGCTGTGGTTGAATCCCTCCTTCATACCCTTTAAGGAAGGGAACACAGCGTAGGAGATGATGCCACATCTGCCAGGTTTATAGAAGTGTGAGTGCTTTCTCTACAGGGAGAATTTCCCTGTGGGGATCTCAGCCCACAGAGGTTTCCATTGATCCTCGTTAACGTGTTTCACAGAAATTGAATATGTCAGACTGAAAAATGCAAGTAATGTATACTGGCAGTTTCAGAGCCGTGACTT